CTCCCATGCTGCCACTCTTCAGAGATGACGCAAAGAGGAGAAAAACTTATTATTGCCCCCCTTAAATACCCTTTCTCATATTTGGAGTCACCTGTGTTTGGAGGTCAAGGGTCACTGAACTTAATAAACCTAATTTAAGTTCCAATAATTAGTTCTAAAGGTTTTGAAATCAATAAAATGACAACAGTGCCCAAATTTATGCACCTGCCTAATTTAGTTTAACCAATTATTGCACACTTTCTGTAAATCATATAAACTTTATTTCACTTCTCATATATCACTGTGTTTGTCCCCTATATGATATATTTAACTGATGWTTTTTATCTAAACAATCAATGATTTATAAAGGTAAATAAGGAAAATTAACGAGGGTGCCCAAACGTTCGCATGCCACTGGACCATCTTATGTTTCAACCCACCCATTTCTCAGGGGAGCAAAACTATTGGAACATGTACTGACAGGTGTTTGTTATTATCCAGGTGTTGCCTTAAAGTTTAATTGTTCAAATGGCTCAGTTGGGAGAGCTGATGCCTCTCAGCAAGAAGGTCCCTGGTTCAAAAATCGGCCCGGGGACCTTTCTGGGTAGAGTTTGCATGTTCTCTCTGTGCATGTGTGGGTTCTCTCCGGCTTCCCCCCACAGACCAAAAACATGACTGTTAGGTTAACTGATAACTCTAAATTGTCCCTAGGTGTGCGAGAGTGAATGGTTGTTTTATTTGTCTCTATGTGTGTCTCTGTGACGGACTGACACCTGTCCAGGGTGTACCCCGCCCCTCGCACTGTGACTGCTGGATATGGGCACCAGTGACCCACGTGAACCTGAAAGGAAAAAGCGGGTATAAATAATGGATGGATGTTCAAACATTAAATAGCTCTGCATGACTAGTCTACTTTTTGACCTGGGGTTAAACCTATAAAGTAGGTATTTATTGTTTAAGAGGATAAATCATCTTACAGACCAGAGAGCTGTCTATGGGAGAAAAGCATGAAGGAAAATCAACCAGARCCATTGGACAAACATTGGGCACAGCAAGCACAACAATTTGGAATGTGTCCCCTTGTTTTTCCTACATTGTGGGGCCCAGTTTTAAGGAAAATGCAGCGTCATGGGGACCAGGTGCTCCTTGGGCCCCACAACTTCGGAGGCTGATTTTGGTTGTGGGGGTTGGGTTTAGGACCAAGATGTGAATTGAGTTTTGGTTAGTTTTAGGGTCAGGTAGGTACCG